TGTTTCCGGGATTGGCTCCTTGTCTCCAACGAGCATCGCTCCAGCCGGAAGTTGCTCCAAATTATTTGGAGCCTCCTCTTGAGCTTGAGCACAATACAGTACAGCGAGGAACATAAAGAGTAGCGCAAGAAAGGAGTGCTTCATCATCTTGATTATGAAGTGTATTGGTTATTCGAGCCACTTGAGAACTGGTGCGTAAAATAGCGAATGAATAGAAAAGAATCACAGCAAAATTTATCCGTTGCTGTCGTAAAGTTCCATCGAATTTATCATGTTTTTTTGGGAAATATCTTGGATACGAAAAAAGTGTTCAATAAGGATTTTTACCATTTAAGAGATCGAAAACAATTTCTGATCATGATTTTAAAATTGGAGCTTACAACATCCTGCGAAAAGTTTGAAAGAAAGTTCGCCTCAATACTCATCCTGGCCTTCTTCTCACATTTTTCTCCATCAATGATAGCCAGATCAACATCATCACTGTCATAGCTCAGATTGAAAGGAACGCAATGCTCTAGATTGACCCTAATAGATTTTCCTGACCGTTCTCGAACTCGTTCAACTCAAAGAGATTCATTTGAGAGTACAGGGTTACGGGACATGAAAGCATAGTCACCATCTTTCGCTTGTCTTGTACCAATGTACGGCGGCTTATTTCCTCCGAATGAGTTGAAACTTGTAACCAAACATGAGGAACATGAACTTCACCATAGTCAAAACCCCAATCGCAGGATGCAACCCCTCACAGTTCCGCATCGTACGTACTTAATTGATTTTCTAATCTATCATGAAGAGAAATTTATCTTCAGAGATACACCAAAGTGTAGTGCAGATGTGCTTCCCTGCATTAACTAAATATTAAGCTTGTGTCCCCTTTGGGTCGTCTACCGAGCACGGAAGAAAGGTAATCCCAATGCAATTCAATTGACGCTTGATAATGTACAAGGCAGCTTTTTTGACAGGGTGAGAACATTGATTAATTAATATGTGCCAGAGGAGGATGAGTGCCAAGTAACATATCTCGTATTCTCCACATTAAGATCTTTAAGACTTATCCTAGCAACTAATCGTAAATCTTGTTTTTGGTTTGATAATCGTATCCTAATTCGATATAATGTTTAGACATGCATGTTACGAGATTTGGAGTATAATCAAACCATTTGAGACAAGCAAGAGCTTTGCGATACATCGCTTCTGTACTACTTCATTTGGAAAATGAAGTGGAAAAGGATGCAATGCATTAAACAATCATAGTCAAACAAAGGACGCCACCACACTCGTGACGACATCGAACAATGGTATCATGCCAAAAAAAATAGTGTATTGATTACTACGCACGCAACACAGAAGAATCACATTGCTCTCGCCATGCACTTACCATCGAGTGCTCTTG